TCCTGGGCTCTCCTTGTCCACCTGCATGGATCTGTTGTGTTGCTCATGTCTCCCTTTCTAAGCTTTTCATAGAATCATGGTATCATTTAGGCTGGAAAAGTCCTTTAAGATCAAGTCCCACTGTTAAACCAGCTTTGCCAAATCCACCACTAAGCCATGCCCCTTAGTGCCACATCTACACATCTTCACATGTCTCCAGGGCAACCCTTTCAGTGAAAAAGCTTTTCCTGCTATCCAATCTAAACCTCTCCTGGAACAAATTAAGGCCATTTCCCCTTGTCCTGTCTGAGAGAAGAGACTGACCCTCACCTTGACACCTTTTGTCAGGTAGTTGTAGAGGATGGTAAGATCTCCCATGAGCTATCTTTTCTCCAGGCTAAATGCCTTCATCTCCCTCAGCCATTTCTCACAAGACTTGTGGTCCAGACACTTCACCAGATTCTTACCCTTCTATAGTCCTGCTCCACACCTCAGTGTCCTTGTAGTGAGGGGCCCAAAACTAAACACAGGATTTGAGATGTAACCAGCTTCTTGAACTTGAATTAGGTCAAATAATTTGGGGCAACCTGAAGATGTGTTTCTGATCCTTCTGTCTGCTTCCTCTTCTGTGTTTTATTCCCAGTGGGAATCCTCCTTGCAGGGCACTGTCAGTTCTCCCCACTTAGAAGCAAAATATGCATTTTTGCTCTCTTGGTGATTTTTTGTGTATGGAGGGAACAAAGCTAGATGTGGTTTCTTACCTGATTTGCATCTATGACATGTTTGCAGCTAGCCAAATGTTACAGAGCTTTGGCCATCTTTTTTTGTCTTAGAGGAGAGAGGATCTTATTGCATATTAACTTAGGAATGTTAAGCTGAATTATCTGCAACTGCCAAGATAGCGGCACTGGTCCAAACTTTTTGAGTCTGCTGTCTTGTGGGACAGTCAGGATTTGTAGCGACGTTTGTTTTTTGCTTACTACCAGACAATCCTAATGGCTTCAGCTGCCAGTACTTCTGTACATTTGTACTTTTAACTATCTGAATAATCCAATTAATTTCACTAGCATGCCCAAAACAGAGCCTGTGCTTAGCTATTCAGAAAGATTAATGTCAAAAGCCTTTACTGATTCTCCAAAATGTATCACTTTTTTCCGTATGTCTTAGTTGACCCTATATTTTCCAACAGTCCCTCAGCTTTGTTATCTATGGATCTCTTCAAAATGACTGGTGGCAGATACATGCAAATAGATCATTTAATTTCCTTGCAATGTCTTTATCCTCATTAATTGTTCCCATTGCACCCTGGTACTCCACTGAGCCTTATGGTTCTCTCACAGCCTGCTTACACCTCTTATAATTAAGCAATTTCTTCTTATTTATTTTCATGTTATGCCTTTGGCTAATCTCCCCACCAAATCCCTCAGCTAAACCATCTTCATCTTTTGTCTTACATTATTGTTCCTTACCACTAGCTTATGTTGGGCTAACTTCCCATTTTCCAAAGGGTATTTGAAGAGCCTCTTTTGTGGTACCTTTCCATTCAGCCAAGGCAGATAAGCATACTCTCTCTCCCTCCTCCTTTCTCTCTTTCTGGGGCTTGTGCAAATCTTCTGTAACTCATTAGTGGCTCACTTCAGTAGGCTCCATGCTGAATCCTTACAGAACCTTACACATTTCCCTTTGTGTAATTGTAATTTATTTCTCTTTTTTTTCTGTGTGAGAGGGTTAAACCAGTGAAGAGAGGGGTTGGAGGAGGGGAAGTGAACATTAAGCAAAGGAACAAAAGAGATGGACTAATAAAAAGTGGTTCTGTGTTCATGCATAGAAAATTATTTGGATGCAAATCAGTCACACAGCTGAATGATTTGTCTCAAAGCCCCAAGACTAGAGACCAGAGGGCTTCAGCCTCAAGTGGCACTCTGTCTGATTTCTATCCAAGCTTTGCATTCACGGAACAGTGTGTCTGCAAACAGCCCACCTGGAGGACTTGTGTGCTGCTTTCATGTCTCCCTGTACTCATCAGAAAAACGTCTTTGTGTTCACTCTGTGTTATTTCCTACATCATGTCTTCAAATTGCAAATACATAGAAAGGGGAGGGATGTAGGCAGGGACAGACAGATTAGTTGCAAACAAAGGAAACTGAGTGCCATATCTCCCAGGTAAATAATTGCTACTGAAAGTACAGGGAAGTACAGGTGAGTAATTGCTTGATAAATTGGCAATTTATGCAGACACTCAAACAAAGACTGGAATTCCTCAGCACAGAGTCCGAGGGGAAGATTTTGCATTGAAATACTTCAATTGTCATTTAGAGTTTGAGTGGATTACAGAAGATGTCTTGTATCCACCATTTCCAGACAGCCCCACTGGAATCATTACACAGACTTTAAAATCATCAGTGCTAGCAGGATCATGAATATAAGTTTAAATGTACTTTTAAGAAAACTTTCCATGAATGAAGGATGAAACCTTTTTTTTTGTCCCAATGTGGCCATGTTTTCAAACCTTTGTTAATATAAAACTTTCAGTTCATTCTAAGTTTTGCAGCTGTGGGATTGAGGTCATGATTATTCCGTCTTCCCCAATGTAGCCAGTCAATGATATAATTTTTAATTGATGCCAACAAGAGTGCAAAGAAGGCTGGCATGTATGTGAGGACACTTTTGGAGCCACTGCACATCTGGGATCTTCCATGGGGCAGTTCTTGGGGAAGGCTGACCACCCTGAAGGAGGATTCTGGGGTAGTGTAGGATATATTAAGTAGATATGATGTAGGGGTATGTTCTGGCTTAGGGCAAATTTGGGAGGAAACTTCCAAAAGGGTCCCTCTAGAAAGCAGATTCAAACAGCATCTACCCCAACTGGTTTGGGGAAAGATATCCTTGGAGAAAAGTGGAAAAAATCTGTTTATTTAATAAGCAAAGTGTTCACAAGCGTAAAAAAATTAAATAATATTAAAAAAAATAAAACCTCTTGCTGTTCTGAAGAGATGGCAAATTCAGAAAATCCTTGCTGTGGGGTGTAGCTGGGCTCTCTCAGTCTCCCATCAGTCCCTCCAGCACTGGAAAATGTCTCATCTCAGGCCCCAGTGGGCCACAGATGAGAGCTCCTGGTGTTTGGACAGCACAGTCTGGGAAGGGATGCAGAGGAGTGAGGGCAGCTTCTGAAAACAAACTGTGCACTTCTTTTCACCCTTTGCTCTCAGAACCTGTCTTAAAGGTGCAGAACTTAACATCCAGCATGAATAGAACAGATGATTTGGGACAGAAGCATCATAAAGTCACCCTAGGACAGGGTGTATTTGTTTTCATTCACTACTGAAAGTGTGGTCACCTGACGCTGCTGCTTGAAAGTCATCTATTTCAGCTAAGCAGTAGGTCATATATCACAGTTTTTCAAAATAAACTCAGAGTAAAAGTACATGCCAGTTGCCAACCCAATCAGTATGCCTTCACCTGATGATGCTAAGGAAATACTCCTTCATTTTAGCTGTTTTGCAGAGCTTCCCCATAGGATTTGAAAAGGTCAGGGTTGTCCTGTGACTGTAAATGAGGGAGGGGTGGCTTGGTATGCAGCAAGAACAATATTAGGTATCTTCAAGCTCAATTTATTGCCCCAGCATTATATTTCAGAGAAGCTTCTAACTTTTGCAGAAAGGCAGAGTGCAGAAGCAGCTTTTTCAAGAGATCAGGTCTTTAGAGAAGGAATGTATATTTCCACTCAAAACCTGCTAAGAGAAAAAAGAAAGAGAACACTTCACCATTTACTTTTAATAAAAATTTACCATGTTCTGATGCCATTCAGGGGTACAGGTCATGGGTAGAGAACTTTGTTTTAACTGCACATCTGTTTTTTCTGTCAGGCAGAATTTGAAACAATGCTCTTGAAGGTTTGGGTGGATTTGTTTTAAATTAATTAAAAAAGCAGAAAATAACTAAATTAATATCTCCATGGGAGAATATGGTATGAACCTTCCTTGTAAAAGACCTCAGACCTCATGAAAACTTGAGAATTATGCTGAAATAAAGCAGATTGCTCTAGCAGTATATTACAATTTCATTTTACACAAATTTAAGCTGCACTTTCTGAAGCTTTCCTTGCTTGTTTCTCTCTAATAGAATGTATGGTTTGTAAATCATCTAATGGGAAGGACAGGTGAGGAGAGCACCTAATTCAGCTTACTTGGGTATAAGCATGGACAAGTCGTTAAAGTGTCCAAGTCCCACTTTTGTGGAAGTATTGAGAAAATGGAAGTAGTGAGCAGAGGTCCACCAGCAGAGGCACCCAGGCTTCCCAGTACAGGCTTTCACATTAAAGAAAACATTTCAGCATTTTCTTCTCTTTTACTTATATGCTTCAGGCCCTCCAAGGTTTTTAATTAATCTCCCACAGCTGAGGGAAGCCTTGTGTCCAGCCTACTGATAATTAATAAAGAGTTCTTGTTTTGAGTGGATGCAGCCATTTTTCATATTGCATTTGGTTTGCAAAAATAAGGCAATGTCAAACTATATTGGGTAAAGCCTTGGATCATTCCCTACACCCAAGCAGGAAGGCACAGAACCTAGTTGTAATGATATTTTTATACTAATATTGTACTGATTTATTTCCTTTTCTGAAAATAAGGGAAACAAAAAACTAGTAAGAAGAAGGGAAGCAAACTGGTAAAGTATATCCAAACGAGCAAGGATTTAAATTGATAGCTTGAATTTGATTCATTTCATCACAGACAAATAGTTTCCCAATGCAGCTTAGCTAAAATCTATTGTGAGGACTGCTAGCAAAATTGAGGAGATCTCATTCAGTGTTTATTTTATCCATCAGTGAGCAGAATTTAGCCCACCAAGCAGTTTTAGAGCAGGCGCTCTTTAAGGACACCTCTGAAACAACTCTTTTTCAGGATAATTCTACCAGAATAAATCCCTGTCCCTCACTCATGCCCCACCCACAGCAAAACTGAGTATCTTGAGGTTTGAAAATAACTGCAACCATTGATTTCTTTTTTCTGCTTTTGCTTTAGGAACTCCTTCATAGATATCCTTCGGGCTATTCTGCTTTCCTTGGAAGTACTCATTGAAGATCAGGAGCTTCAGATAAATGGCTTCATTCTAATTATAGACTGGAGCAACTTCTCCTTCAAGCAAGCCTCCAAGCTGACACCATCTATCCTCAAACTGGCCATTGAAGGGTTACAGGTAGGTGGAGGGTGGCACGTGTACCTGCAACTTTTATTGCTGCAGACAGTGATTTTTGCTTCATTAGGCACTGGGCAAAGTGAAGGGAGGAGAAGATAATCCAGAATGCTTTAATGTTCTATCCACTTGCAGCACAGATCGATTTTCAGACATCTCATTTTGTCTGTCTTTCACTTTTATTTCAGCTGTAAATCAATGTAGCCAGCATGTGCGTTACTTACCACAGCATTAAGAGGGAGGGTTAGAGATTTGATGTTTAATCCATCAGAGAATTTGGGGGGATTAGAACCCAGCAGTGCCTGCCTTCTGGAGTGCGCAGTCCACATGCAAGCACATGTGTATGCAGAGGGAAGGTAACAGGAGATGAGAGCAGATCCCTCAGCAGATGGAAGAGTGCTGTTGTGTTCATGAGGATGCATTTGAGTTGGACAGAAACGGGCAAGAGGGAGGACAGGCTCCCTGTTGTGCCCTCATTCTGACTGCCTTCATTTGTCACACAGGATCCTGTTACTTTATGGCTCAGACTGTTTAGGGGCTGCACATCCACTTGGTGCTTGCAGATAAATGGGAGCAAGCTAAAACCACGTGCTGTTACTGGGTTAGGTGGAGAGTGAGGACCAGGCAACTGGGGCCTGATGGGCCAACCTGAGGATGGGGCAACCTGAGCATGAGGATAAACTGCAGTGCTCAGAGAGGACTTTGGCCCCATCCACTAAAGTCTGAGCCCATTTCTGGGCTCAGATGTTAGACCTGAGATGGACTTTTAAGTCTGAAATAGTTTTACATAACCTTACTATTTGAGGGCATTTGGTAGAATCCAAGGACTATAGAGGTTGGAAAGAGTGCTGGAGATAATTTTGTCTGACTCCCTGCTCAAAGCAGGGATGACTTCAATCTTTTACCTGCTTGCTTAAGGACCACATGTTTTCATGCTGCTACATATTTAAAAGGAGATATAAGTAATTGCTTTTTTCTTGCTTAGTACTTACCAGATATCCTGTTGTCATAAACACATCAAGTAAAATTCTTTCTGGTGTGTGTATTTTTATTTTAACTTATGAAGGAACAATTTTTTGACTAGTAAATTATCTACAAGTAGATCTTGATTGTGTCTGCTTTGTTTTATTATTCAAAAATGAGGCAGAAAAATCTGCCAATAATTTTAAGCCTGTGTTCCCTTTTGTGAGGAATTTTCATCTATTCTAACAAAATAGAAAGTCAAGCTGTGTAATTAGTCCTTAGGACAATACCTTATCTTCTCCTGCAGATACTATCATTTCATTCAGAATAACATTCTGTGGTTAAAAAAACCCTTCTAGTCAGAAGGAAGATAAAGCCAAGTAACATTCATAAGTAGATCAAATTCTAGCAAAGCATCCTTGTGCCTGTCCAAATTTTGCTTTTTCATCTATTCAGTAAGAGGCCAGTCCAGCCTTAACCCCATTTGATTTCTGGCCATGGCACTGCCAGGTTGTCTGCCTCCAGTTTATTTGCATTTGTTGCCAAAAGTACTGGAAGTACTGAAGCTGGGGAGTACCAAATTTGATCTTATAATTCTGTCATTAGCTTGACATCCTGTGGTGTGCAATTTAAGAAGGCTGTCTTTCTTGAGGTGCATTTAATTTCATATTTGAAGTCAAGTTACTGTTGTCTTCTCCAGGATTAGTAAAAATATGACTCCCTGAAAGTACAAATTGGGATAATGTGTCCTAAACTTAGCTAACCACTGGCTTCTGAGCAGTAGGAGTAGTAGGAGTTGTGAATGCTGCATTCCTTTTTACCAGTTTTAGAAGCAACTCATTCATGCTGATACAACACATATTTAGCATACAATGATGGTGGGGATTTTTTAGTTTGGGTTTTTTTTTGGCTTTCACCATTGCTGTAGAAGTACCTTCATTGAGACTTTGTTCTATTACTATTTTAAAAGAATTTGTGCCGTCCTAATGTAAAATTTATGTGAAATGTAGTCGAAATGCAGACGAGACCTACATACTTTAGAAAAAGTGTCACTGCACTGGAAGTCAGTGAAAGTAAAAAAGTCAGGTCCTGTCCCATGAGATGATGATGTCCAGAAAAAAAAGAAAAAAAAGCAGATTGTTTCAGTTCCTTGTTTTTCTCATAGCTAAGGCACTGTGCAAGTACAAATCCTCAGCCAGGCAGATTACATGGCTATCTCAGTCCTCCTTTCTATGAAGAGATTTTGGGTTATATTAAATCCTGTGTAAGTCTAATTAAGTGGATGGAAGGAAAATAATTCTCTCTTACAATTTCTCCTGGAGCTGGACCCATATGTTGCTATTTGTGAAACTTTTAGGCTCTCCCTGTGTAATGGCAATTTTAATGCCATAGCAGAACAATTTTCCTATAATTTTTTAACTCTTATTCAGTGTCTTAAACCATCACTTTCTGACATATAGAATTAATTAAAAAAAACAACAAATAATATTAAATAAGGCATTTGGGTGTTTTTCTTACTTTTAAAATGCTTTCATCCAATTAATCTTTTGGCAATTCAATGTTTTTGCATTTGCCTTCAATTTATTTTTCCTCAAACTGCTGCTACAATGCATTACCACTAAAGTGCAGACAGGAAGCATTATAAAGGTGCATATATTAATTCATCTTGAGTTGTAAAAGAAACACTAGTCAAATCTAGTGGACTTGGCTGCAGAAATTAATATATTGCTATTATATATGCTGCTCAGTTCCAAACACTGTAAAATCTGTAAATACTTAGAAAGATGACATAGGAGTTACATCACCACATTGCTGAATGCACATTTTGCTCAATACTACTTCTTGTTCTGTATAGATTTCTTTATATATTTTGTCACACAAGACAGTTCATTGTACCTCAGTCATGTTATTTAATGACATAAAAATAGCCTTATGCCTCCACTTCAAACAACAGTAGTTCAGGTGCTAAATAAGTATTTGTACTGTGTGGCAATTCTCATCATGTCACAGCAGTGTGGGGACAAATGTCTTTGTAGTGCCTAAGCCACCTCTGATAACCAAGCTCTGCTGTTTTAGCAAAAGACAATTGTCACTGTATGCTTTGAGCTGATGCTGTACTCCTTCCTAGACCTTACAGATCTCTGGAATTTTAACACATTAAGCACAAGATTTTCACGTGGATGGAAAGGTGGGGAAAGAGTTGTGTCTAAAATAAATCTATTTTGCCAATGATTTTCTAAGTTTTCAATTCTAATCTTTACCCTTTTAATGTGAAAAGCTTTTCCCCTTCACAGCATCTTTGCCTCTGTTTTCTTAGTCTGTGAAGTTACAGTTCTTCGTGTGTCATGCTGAGCTTATAATTATCTTATGATGGTAGACAAAATTTAATTGTGGCTTAAGTTAACCAGAGACTAATCTTTTGGCACTTTGCATAACAGAATAGAAACATCAGAGTCCAATATCAAAGGTCAGAAATCCACGTTACAATAGTGATGCAGGTGAAGCATATAAGAAATGGCCACTTCTCCGTATGCAGGATGTTTGCTACTGACCACTGCATCCAAAGACCTCTAATAATTCTGGAAACCGAGGCTGAACTGTTACAGTGAACACAGCCTCCATGTCCAGTGAAGCCCAGACATTTTTTTTATTTATGGTTGGTTAAATAACCAACTGGCTGGTTGGTTTCTGCTCTGAGGATGTAGTTGGTTGGCCTCCAGACAGGACTTTTGATTTTTTGGTATACCAGTGAGCATAAAGAATCACTCTTTGTTCCTGCTTTATCTAACACCAGAGCTATCTTCGTGAAAGTGCATGCAAGTAGCAATTTAGAAATTCTCCCAGCTAGTACTCTGAATTGAAATCAAATAACTTCTCAATAGCATCCAGAAATCTTCCAAAACCTTCAAAACCTTCAGAAGGTTTGACCTTGCCTGCCATTTCCTCGGTGAAAGCCAAGACAGAAGGCCATGGTCTACCAAGACCCAGCTAAGTGGCTTATGACACAAATCACCAGGCTGGATTTAAAACTGACCTGAAGCTCAGGTTTGCACTCCAGAGTACTGCTTTACCTAGCAGGTAACTGGCCCCAAGGCTGTCTCAAAGTAGTGAAACAAGAAAGGGTGAATGGTTATTTTCCAGCTGTATTCTTTCTTTCTCTGATAGTTGTGTCACATGCTGGTGTACTCAAATGTGATTACAGTGACTCTTAAGAAATAAACCATATTCCTACTTTTGGCAATGATGAATCACTGCAGGAGTGATCTTTAGGGTTCAATAGGGCTTTGATTCGAATTCTACAATAATTGCATCGAATAGCAGTAACAAGAGGGATCAACCCAGATCTGCAAATAGGAATTTGTCTCCAGATCTTCATTGGCAATAACTTGACAGATGATTTGACCAACAAAGGACATTGGGAGAGCCATTAAATCTCTCTCGTTCTTTTAAGCTATTTTCAGTTTATCATAATCCAGCAAAAATTTGAAGCTGGTATTTCCTTGAGGAAAGGAAAATGAAAGGAAATCAATGATGCTTACCGTAAGAATACTTTGATCAGATACTGGTATAGATAAAAATCTTTGAAAAAAAATCTTCAAATAAGGGAAAATGGTCTAAGATTCTCTTAGAAAATTGTCAAAGTTAGATTTGCTAATGCTACAGAATATCATTAATGTTTAGATGAAATCAGAAAATCAAGCTAACAGGTTCGTTTAGATATTATTGGAGATTATCCTACTTCAAAATCTAAAATGAGATCCCAGATTGTGAAAAACTCAACCTGTTTAGAATTATATGAAGCTTTTTGATCTTTAACACTAGAAATAGATTTTAAAAGTCTTTTTTAAAAATTTCCTTCTACTGTAATTTTGTAGGATTAAGAAACTTAATGTCACTTAAACAATAGCAGAAAATCACTTGTCTCTTGACACTGCCTTATACAATCAAATATTTTTCATGTTGTTCTTCAGAAGGAAGAGCTATAATATTTTTAAAATGTTCAAAAGTGAAGAAGAATGTAGTTCTTGAAGGAAAAAAAT